GCACTGAGGAGATGAGTCATTGATTATTTCTGTGTATAGCAACCTCATTTTTTACCCCTAAGTAACAAAAATAAAAGCCATCTTGCACATCTCTACTAATAACACTGGAGACAATTAAAGTGTTGCCTCACAGGGAATACTTTCTTTTTCCCTGAAATGTGCAACAAGTAAGGTATAACAAAGTATTAATCCCTTCTACCTGTATTTAGTGCCCATTGGTGATATGGGTTTTTCACAAGACTACTTCAGCAGTATATATATATATTTGCCTTCAAAGCCATACTACATGTGCAAATTCAAAAGTAAATGGAGGGTGTAGTTCCCATCTCTCTCAACTGAACAGTAACTCATTGCATAGTTTCTCACTGTGGGATGTTGTGCAGATGTTGAGGTTATTCCTGTTTGGTCCATGCACCTATTCAGTGTTCTGTTCTATGCAGAATTTTCTCTCCTGATTTCTTCTAGTGGAATGGGTGAAACCTTACTTTCTCAGTACCAGGCCAAAGGAATGGTCAATATGGGGAGTTTCTTTTGGGTTGGTGTAATCCCTCAGATATGAGTACAGGACATTCCCAGACCATTTCTAGTGGTAGGGACCAACTTGGTGGGTCTTGAGTTCTCCTAGGGATGCAGGTTTGGGATGATTTATTCCTACACATGCATATTCTTGTAACTATATAACATAACTATGTTTCACGTACTGTACAGCTTGAAATATTGCTCTAGCCACACTTGATGTACACAGTCTCCAGATCTCCTGAATTATACACCACGGCTGAGCAGCCTTCATATTCTGCCTACATTTGTGACATTTTAGCACCATGCAGGAAGTTTTTTTTTGCAGAACAGTTCTGCACCGCCTCTTTTATCAGGCTAAGAGTATTTCCTTCATGAAATGTTTGCATTATCCCACTGATTGAAACTCCAGGAGCATGAGTTTTCTCTTTTGTTGCTATTTTCTCAGAAAAGACTCATCTGCATAATTTCTTTGTATACACTAATCCCATCACCATTTTCTCAATGTGGGATTCTACCTATCTATTCTGTGGAGAAGTGAGAATTGTGTTCAGAGGTTAACATTTGACTTACTAGAAAATGTATTTCAAATAGATGCATACCTCACCACAAAAATCACCCATTCTACCTCCATACTTCTGGTGTGTGTTTTAAACCTCATTAACAATGATCTTTTGGATGCATAAAGTACTCAAGGGAGTGCTGAGATTGGAGGTTGTGTCACCATCGTATTGGTGGAAGGATATAATTTAGTGCTGATTTCATCATAGACTGGCAAAGTGCATGTTATTACATGCAGGGGTGGTAGGTTTTGTTCAAAGTCTTTGTGTGTGTGTGTGCAACCACTTTTTGGCAGTGGCACAAAGTGTTAGTTATCTCTTCTGTAGAGAGGTGACTGTCTATCTGAAATACATTTTCAGTTAACTCATTCAGCATGGGCTCGGTCCCTGGGATTGACCTCGTAACCATTTTGTGCTTGTTCTAGTTTTCATGCTATAACTTTTAAATTAGTAAGCAAGTGTTAACAAAATTTGGCAGATTATCAGTAAGCATTACAATGCTTTCATATACAAAATGTAAAATTTTTTTATTATTAAGTCTTAAGGTTTGTAAAGCAATGTTTTTCTCATATCATTTATCTTTTTACATGTTGCCCATCTATCATGAAAAGTAATATTAATTTTAAGATAAGAAATACTTTTATACATCAGAAAATTTTTAAATTTCACATGCAAAATCTTTATAGTGTCCAGATAGTTATCAAATGTTTCTTAAGAAAAAACTTTATATTTTATCTGTTAATTTCAGTACGGGTTCGGTAGATTTGACCGATTTTGCAACCACCATAAAAAAATTAGGAAATAAATATAAATTATGCCTTTTTCATTCTACAATGAACACAAATTATAACACAAAAACATAGATGTTTAGACTAAATAGGTTAAATCTCACAACGTTATGTATTTATATATATATATATTTATTATTTTTATCATATTGACCTTTCAGCCATGCCTGGCTAACAGTACAGAAGTTACAATGACATGGCTCACATGCACTCATGTTACCGTATTGAATAACATAAAACTGACCTTTGGTCTGTACAAAGTAACTTGTCTTGACTTTGTTTTAGTAGACTAGTATTTTGTAAAATACAGTCACATTTCAATTATTATACATTATATAGATTATTGCTATTTTGAAATAAGCTCTTAAACTTACTTTTCTTTAAACATGTAAAAGTAACTAAAGAAGTAAACAAACATTTATCTCTTCAAGTTACGACCTTTGTACTCGATTGCTGCTTGACGTAGGTTGCTAAGCCTTTAAAACATTGTACATGGAGGATATGATCAAAATATTATTTTTTAGGTTTTATATATATATACATTTGAATAACTAAAAAATCATAAATTACTACATCAATACCATAGAATTCCACTATAATTTATCAAGCTTAGTAACTAAGATGTATTTTAGTCTAAAGAAATATGAAATTTCGAGCAGACTAAAGACACACCCTACCTTGTTGAATTATTGGTTCAAAAGAAAGAAATGGCACCAATCCAATTAAAATGGCTGAGAAGCCACTAGGGGGGACATTCTGAGCTTCTAATTGGTTATTCAACTGATATATAGAAGTAAGTGTGTATAAGGGAGCATTTCCAAAAATAGAAAGAGGTGGGTGGGGTGCCACTGTGTTTAATTTATTACATGAGCAATATCTTAGCAAATTGAGAAGGTAAGAGACTCTTATTTTATATTCTAGCTTGTCAATATTGGTAATTTGAGTTTCTAATTCAAAGGAACTATAGACTTAGTATTATGACTTCACAAACATCTAATTTGAACCAGTGCTGAATTCAGCATACTACGTGACACACAAAAATTGATGTTTCTGTGTTTTTTTTTATATTTGCTCTTAGATTGAGAAATTGATTAATATATAGCACTAAAATTTGAACTATAATCCACAATTTGGTACCAAAGTTATTGACATAAATTCATGAAATAGTAGTTCAATAAAATTTTGAGTGCAAGTCAACAAACAAGATGACATGGCCTTTCACTCATGACTCATCTCTAAAGGGTTAAGAAAAATATTAACTTCCCAGCGATACAATGATCCTGAAAAAGGGTTGTACAGACTTTTAATAAAGCCGAAAAATTAAATTACAGCCAAAGAGCATTAGGTAGGACATAAACCAATGAAGTTCAGTGAATATGCAGAAATTAATCAATGATTGTTTTAATTTTTACTCCTTTTCTGGAGCCCTGAATATGTTGCTAGCAGTGTTGTATCTCTCAACATGACATTCTGATATTAAATATCAAGGTCCTGTATCAACACTGTGATGATTCTCTTCATTTGTTTATTATGGTGGCTCGGAGTGGGTACGAATTTCTAAAAATTCTCAGTAAGTTCTCTATTTTTTACAAGTGTCATGAAGGTAAGCTGGTCAATAATTTGGTGAGATGATCTGGTAAAAGTGGAACAAAATAACTGATGTGACATCCCAGAAAATTGCCATTTTGTGGCAGTAAAAGAATTTCATTGTTGCCACAGTCAGCTAGAAAATAGACTATAGAGACAACACTTTTAAAAATATTTTCCAGTACACCTTTTTTTGTGCCTGTTTTACCTCTCTGCATAAAGTAAGAAAAAACACATTACTGTGATGATTAGCTGATTTTTCTAGTCATTCAGTCTTGAAGTGAAAGATGGCTGTTTAAAACAACTTAAAGTTATAGCAGTAGACACGAATGCATATTAGTTCAGTGTTATTTTTCTTTCTATAAAAATTATCCTTTGTCAGGTACTGCTTTTTATTTCCATAAATGTTTATGAAATTAACAAACATGCTAAAACTACAGGTAAGGTACCACAAAAGTCACTGCAGGTAGCAGCATAGTGCCTTTTTTTGGCCAATCCCACAGAGTTCTCTATAATCGATGAAAAGCTACATGACAGTTTTTCAGCAAATGAGTTAAGCCAAAAACAAAGTTGACTTTTCTGTTTACAATCTGGAGTAAACATACAGTTACAATAATAAGAGGCCACCTCACTTATTGAAGAATCCAGATGTTAAACTACTTTTTTCCAAAACCTTAATAATTCACAGATGTAAAGAGAGCCAGATTAAGAAACTAGACATGTGCCTCAGGCCCAAATTTGACACTTGACAATTACATGTTAGACTTGACAGAACTCAGCTCCTTGACATTAAAATTGTTCCAATAAAGTAATTTTTATTAAACATATTCATTTACTGTCTTCACCTGAAAATTCTAGAGTACTTTTTATTTCAGTATAGAGGGACTATTACCCAGCAACTGTTCAGGTGACACAAATGACATACTACTAAGTGAAAACCAGATTGATAATTGATGTGGAGAGGGGGGGGGGAATTATGCTGATTAAATAGCAATAAATTATAATAAAAAATTCATTTAAATTAAAAATACAATCTTTGTTGTTTTTAATTTTTCTCTATTATGAGCTAAATTACATTTATTGCAAAGAGTTAAAAAAAATTTTGAATGAACACACTGGATATACCTTGCTTGTCTGAATATCATCAACCATTCTGTATAATTGCTTGCTAATTTTTGTTAGTGTAAATTTTTCTTATTCTTTGCATTCTGTAAGTTGTATCCTGTTGTTAGAAAAAGTTGTAAAAAATAACCAACTCACAATGTTTCTTACCTCCCTGTCCTCAGCATCAGCAGAGAACACTCTGCCAACAGAAATCATAGTTGGACTTTTGAAAACAGACCAGAAGTTTGATTAAAGGAAGCAGGGCCAAGAATGTTAATAAGGATTGTAATTGAAAGTTTTAACCAGGATGGTCTTATCTAACTTCATTTGAAACTTTAACTACTGCAGTTGTGATTTTTCTGGAATTCTGGCAGTTTCAGAAAACAAGCATATTAAATTTCAGTCAAACTTGTTTTAATAATGACATTAATGATATGTGCATTAGGATTGTGCTTGGTTGGAGCTGATGAACTACATACGTTCTCAAGAAGAACTGAAAGAGGTATCAGCTGACACCTTTGAACTCTTGATGGACAGATTGGAAAAAGAATCATACTTCCAAAGCCAGTCCTCGGGGAAAGACCTTGGACCCCCAATTGATGAAGATGCTGTTTGCTGTATATGTAATGATGGAGAATGTCAGAATTCAAATGCCATTTTGTTTTGTGACATGTGCAATCTTGCAGTACATCAGGTAAAAGTTGAAAGATCAGGATATGGTGGTATCAGAGGACTTTTTTCAATACACATATAGCCAAAATATATGCAGCTTAGATACTGTTACATGTTTAGGCTTAAATTAGTTACTTTAATTTGACCAATAAGAAAGTTTATTTGTATAAAATCATATATGTATGTGTGTGTATATATATATTTTCAATGAAATGTATCTCTTTTCTAAATATAATACTTTTTACAATACTGTTGTTGAAATATCCATGATTTAAATTTCTTTAATAAAGGTTTCTATTATTTCTGGATTTAGGAGTGCTATGGGGTTCCATACATTCCAGAAGGTCAATGGTTATGTCGTAGGTGTCTCCAGTCTCCATCTCGAGCTGTTGATTGTGTTTTGTGTCCTAATAAAGGTGGTGCCTTCAAACAAACAGACACAAGCCAGTGGGCTCATGTGGTTTGTGCACTTTGGGTTCCCGAAGTTTGTTTTGCCAACACAGTGTTCCTTGAACCTATAGACAGCATAGAAAACATCCCACCAGCAAGGTGGAAGTTAACATGTTACATCTGTAAACAGAGAGGAGTTGGAGCTTGTATACAGTGTCATAAATCAAACTGTTATACAGGTATGTTTTGAACATCTTTTAACTACTGATTGTGTTGTGTGCTGACAAAATAAAAATAACAAAAACAACTTACACTGTTTTTGGGTATGTGCATATAACTGTTTATGTATACAATTTTTGAGTATGTGCATATAACTGTTTATGTATACAATTTTTCTGTATTGGAATGAATGTTTTGGTTTCTAAAAGGTTGTTAAACAATGGTTCATCTCCAGTTTAGTATTCAGTAATTTCTTTTGATAAGTAACTTCAAGTTTTCTATAAAAGAAAGTTATGAAATTGACTGACATGATCTTGGAAAATGAATCTTTTAATATTATAATGGGAAATGTTCTTTACTCTTTTAAGCATTTGATTTTCAATATTATATCAGTATGTGTACAACTATATGTTAAGTTGTAGCAAACATTGATTTTTAAAGCTGCATTTGCAACTTTTTTATTTTGTGTGACTCTGCCAAAAATTGTGAAACGAGGGAAACTAAAGATTAATTTCTTAGTAGTTATTTTCTGTTATAAGTATTCTTGATTTCAGAGAAAATAATTTAAAATTCTCTATGTAAAGTTACTTATAAAAATTCTAGTATAATTAGTGTAGAAATGATGCAAAGACTTTTTTTAGCTTTTCACGTGACCTGTGCTCAACAAGCTGGGTTATTTATGAGGATGGAAGCCGTAAAAGAAACGGGAAATAATGGGCCAACGTACAATGTTAAAAAAACAGCTTATTGTGACGTTCATGCTCCTACTGATTCTGAGAAGGTATGATAAAACCAACTCTCTAACTTGTATATTTAATTTTGTTGTGGGCATGTTTTTATGGTGTACAACTGAAATTTATTTTGTACTTGTAATAACCATAAATAGATTAACAAGAATATATTTTTCATGTATTAGAAATATGAAAAGTAGTTAATAGTATTCCTGTATATGTTTTACTTTTTGTGGGTGTATTGAAAATACTTTTTTTTTGTGTAGTAGTACGTGTAGTCTTTACTTACTGACATTGAAATTATTTAAGAGACCTCTTATTAAAAAAAACAACAACAAATAATTGTTTTGGAGCAAAAAAAAAATAAAGTTTCTTGCACTCAAGATGCATTTACCTAGTCTCACCCATGCATATGTTATTACCTCTTTAGTGTATAATTATCAGCTTTGTCTTTAAACTATAAAAATGTTTACTCATTTTACACAGTACTGGTAATAAGATTTTACCACATGAATTACTCTTTCAAACAAGCAGTCCTCGAAATTAGGACGTCAAGTCCACAGTAAATTAACATATACTTAATACACTAGTGGTGTACAAGGCAAGCATCTTTATAGAGACAAAAAAACAAAAAATTACATTGTTTTTATACTGATTAAATTTTTTTGGTGAAATCATAAAATTATAGACAGTTTCCAAGTTAAACTGAAGCATAAACTTTGTCATGTTTGGCCCATCTGATATTCAACTTTCACAGAAATCAAGCTCAAACTTCTTGGCATTAAATTTCTTGATCATAATAGTACCATCTGTCCATTTTTCTAAGTTGTTTTTCGATGGTGCTACTAGAGACATGTTTTATTCTTTCCTGATGCATAAATTTCTCTGCAGATTTTGTAAATAATACTCGTAAAAACATCTTGCTCATTACATTCAAATCCTGTCTCATTTAATTTCTATCCCAGATGAGAAAATAAAGAAATCCATGCATCATTTGTTGTAGTGCAGCAAAAGTTAGTTTCTGATGCTTTTATTTAGAAATTTCTTAAATAATTAGGTGTCGACTCGTATTTATTCATAAAAAATATATGCAATAAAACAAATTAAACCCTGAAGTTTGTTCAATGGTAACATGGTGAGTAAAATACAGAATTCATATTTCAGTGCTTGTACTTTTATTCACTTTTTTTGGGGTAAGGGTTAATGTTTTTTGACAGTATAATATATTGCTACTAACAGTTTTAATTTCGACAAAATATATATGGTGCAGATTGGAATCATATCCCAATACATTTATTGTCCACAAAGACATCATTTAAGTCAAAAGTTGTTAGGAATTTTACTCACAAAACAGTTTAAAATATGATAATGACTGAAATGTTTTAATTTAGGATAATGATGAAGGCGGTGGAAAAATAGATAGTGTTAAAAAGGCCAAAGCCAGGGCCAAATCAAGAGAGAAGATGAGAAAGGCAAGGAAGATATTGGCTGAGAATCGAACAGCAGTTCCAGTAGTGTCTATTCCAACAATACCACCTGATAGGTATGCTGAAGCAAGATTTGTGCATACTTTATAACAATAATAAAACTTTTAAAAAAACAGAAACAAATCTGGGCAGTTAGAAGGTAACAATTACTGAGAACATAGAGTATCAAATATTGTATGTTGTATTAAATCTTAGTGGAATACTGTTATCATTTAGTGTTAAGAAGATGCAATAGGATCTGTATACTAAACTGTATTGTCTGGAAGAAGGCTGGATTTAGGAAGGCAACAGCTTTAGTGCTTGACACCATATTGGATTTCAAAAATGATAGATAATTGTGTATGTAAATAGAAGAATAAATGTAAAAGGTGTGTTAGTATATATTTTTTCAGTGTAATTTACAAACCTTGTAGTTAGAATAAATATGTAATTTTTGTTATACCAATTACCATAATTATGAATGTGTAATCATAACGTTAGTTGTTATAGATATACTATAAATATAATTTGTTGAATGTTATGTTATCCTGTAGCTCTGACTAATATACAAATACGTGTAGGCTTGCTGTTAATGCCAGACTACTTTCTGTGATTTTAGTTGCTGCCAACAGGTATTAAATATTGGCAAAAATTATGATATTTTTTAAAACAAAGTCGAGCAAGTAATATAGTTTATTATGTAAAAATGGATAAAGCTTCAGGAATAAGGCTTGTGTGTGAAAAGAATATTTGTGGAGTAGAATTAAAACAAATTGCAAATTGGAAACAAATACATCATTCATTATTTATAGTTTCATTGTGAAATTAATAGCAATTCTGTGATGCATATCTGCACAGGATTTTATTGTATTAACATTGTTTATAAAATATGATAGTACTTGAAACCTGCTATAGCTTTGGTAACAGGACAGTATAACAGAAGATGTTTTTAACTCTCTCTACATGGGCTTGGTCGAATTTACCGACTACATGATCACTTTGTACTCATTTGAAGTCGTTATAGTTTTGATACTTCTAACTTTTAATATAGTATGTATATCTTCTCAAACTTTGGCAGACTTTCAGTAAACATTACAAGTCTTTTTACACACAAAAAATCTGAAATTTTTGTGAAGTATTTGTAATAAAATAAGAAAAAGATTTGTCCCTGAAATATTGAGTCTTTTTTTTTACTAGTCCAAGTGCAAAGTGATTTTCATGTGAAGATCAGAAATACTTTTCTTCATCTCAAAAATCTCAAATTTCATTTGCATAATCTCTAAAACCTCCTAAATATATTTGAAACGTTTTTTGTTCAGTAAAACTATATTTTATCTGTTATTTTTCTATACTCTAATTCTTTACGAGGTTGGTCAAATTTGACCAACCTCGTAACTACAAAAAAATTGAAATAAATCTAAATTACCCTTTTTTCTTTTTTAGAAGGACTTCAAGTTCTAACTTGAAACAGTATTTGTTTATCCAAAGTAGCTTTAAACTCGTAACATTATGCATCTATTTATATTTAAATTTTATTGTTGTATTGCCCTTTGAACCATGTGTAACTGCTATTTGTGCCATTATAAGTTGAAAATCACTTGGGAAACATGTGGCTCAGATTATGCTATCGAATTACATTATCTATGAGCCACTCCAAGCTGCTTGTGTTCGTGCTTCGTGAAACTTTTTCTTTTATTATTATTATTTATTTTACCTAATTTGATGTTAACTAACCTAAAGAGTTTCCTATTATTTATGTTTTAGTTACTTTTATATCAATAAATAAAGAATACACATGAAAGACAAGAAATAAAGTACTTACCCTAGGCCTTCTGTTTTTTGCCGTCAACTGGTGATGACACTTAATCCTACTTTTTTTATACGATTGGTAGTGGTGTACTAAGTAATTTTTATGTAATTAAATAATGCACCAAAAAACTTAGAATAATAATGTGCAAAAAGCAGGCAATGTCCCATAACTAGCACAATGTTTCTAACAATGTGACAAGAGCCATTACAAATTCATCCAAGCCAGTTGATATGTTTCCCGTGGGAATGATGCTTGTACTGGAATAGAAATTTACAATTCTATGTACAGAAAACAATGTGATATAACATGTCATTTGATAGATGCAAATCTTGGCTTTCTATTGGTTATAAATAATATAGTATTAAACAAAAGAGAAATATATTAAATCCTGAATTGAAGGATATGACATGTGGGTGTGGCAAGAGGGGTCTAATTTTCTGTTTGATGGCTCTGTAACCAGACAAAATTGAAGGCTAAGAAAATTATGCTTTGTCTGAGCAATGATGATATTATAGTGAGTAATTTACATTAAATTTCCTACTTATTGGAGGGGTAGTGAATAAATTAGAGAAGAGGGGATGCCTAGAGAAAAATATGTCATTACCCACACTAGTGGAAATTCAGGATTTTTTAAATATTGCTTTATAATTATGGATTATTAGCTACAATTTTATGCTGTATTAATTAGTATAACATAAACAAAAAGTGGTTTAATTAACCCGATGATTACTGGCTACTAACTTTCTTAGTAGGCAATGCAAGTCTTGCTATATTTCATTCCAACAATAAAACTAGTGGATGAATATGTTTGAAACTTCACAAGAACTTTCAAAGATGTATGTAGTTTAAGAAACATAAAGCCTACTACTTTTGATAAATTTAGTTTTTTTTGCATTATGATCTTTAATATCTT